TTCGCATTTATATATATATTTATATATATTAATATATATATTATATATATATATATGATACTCAGTTCTTCATTATTTAATACTATATTATGAAAAGTAACATTATTTTTACATTTATGCATCATCTATATATATATATATATATATATATGATACTCAGTCTTCATTATTTTAATACTATATTATGAAAGTAACATTATTTACATTATGATCATCGTATAAATTATAATAATATAAGCGCATGAGAATTATATACTTATATACATTCCATAATTATACTCATATGTGCATAATGATCTCCTATGTGATTCATTATATTATATGAGTTGATTGAATTACTTGCAATGTGACTATACTGTGCCTTTTTTCAGGGTGGAATTAGGATGAAGTAGGTCACTATGGGTTTGTGATGATGGTCTAGGACCGTTTACTAGGTATGGGAGATCGGCGCCCCTGTAGGCACCTATTGAAATATGATATGAATGATATTGAAAAACCACCTTAGCCTCCTATTGGAAATGGAAAAGAAAGAGAGAATGGAAAAACAGTGTGAGGATTGATCGAGTAAGAAATAGACCAGTTGGCCAGGTATGGGGATCAACTCCTTAGTGCACACATATGAGAGGACAGGCCATGTGTGATGACGGCTTGTCGAGGGTTTTATGATGCCACTAACCAATCTCCATTTAATGTGATTTCTTGAAGGTGATATTATTTATGGATGCTGATGTTGTGACATGCGTTTGACTGAAAGTGTGTTCATTATATAAATATGGAAAGCATCCTATATGATTGTATGGGCTATGCATTATTTATTATTATTCACTGAGTTTGTGAAACTCACCCCCCTTCTTAAAGAGGTAGACAAATTGCTGGTTCAAATAGACTCTGATTATTTTTGGTGATATTTAAAAATATAGTATTATGTATAAAAATGTATCCATCTTTATACTGAGCTCCATAGATAGAGAGTCATGTATTACAATTGATCATGTAAAAGTTATCAGTGTGTTGTTCAATAAACCTATGGAATTTTCTAGTTAACTCTCTAAAAGTATGAACGTACCAGTTTGCCCATATTGCGAATGATGTTAACGGTTTAAAAGAAAAGTTATAGGCCCGAGCTATGAATTAATTGAAATGTGGAAGCTGGGCTGGAGATATGAATTGACGGAATGATTTAATAACATCATACTATGGGCTTATTCCTAGAGACGGTCCAAAGAAATGGATTTCGTGAGTCAAGGCTTACTAAGGGTCTCGGGGACCTTAAACTTACTTAGGCCCTAGTGTCGGTCCGGCCCACAGTTGTGGATCGTGACAAAGTTGATATCAGAGCATAAGATCATTGTTGTATAAGTAACTGCGGAGCATTGGGAATTTCATCTCGTCTTTCTCAGTATCTTTTGCTTCTATTTCAATATCTCTCTTGTTGTTATGATTAGATTGGATAGAATAAAGGTTATTGTAACCATTATGAAATAGGTATGGACCAAGAATTTCTTTATGTTGGGATCAATCGTAACCAACATAAGGAGAGAAACTTGGTGATTTTCCTCCCAAGGGATGGTGGACGCATTAGACCTTGTGAGGTAGGAAAACTCATACTTATTGTATAAAATGGTAAATAATAAGTTAAAGGAATTAAAGATGAGTGTGGCAAATAGATAATAAAATATTACAAAAATTGCAGGTGCTAAAGTAGGAATTATTTCTTAGACCTGCTAAAAGAGAAACTTTGGATGATAATGGATTAATTTGATTATTTGATGCATTACTTTTTATATGAAATTTATTTCTGTGGTGAATAGAAAAATGTTAGGAAATAAATGGAAATGTTTATTATGTGGCAATATGAATAGAGATAGTTATAGTATCAGTAGCAATAATGAGAGACTTAGCTGTTTGTACGAGAACTATCATCAAATTAAATATTGATTATGGTTGCCTTGGAGTTGGAAGTCAGAATAGATATCGAATATATATTGAGAGATATTGATATTATAATTGTAAAAGTACTAAGAATGGTGAATGAAGAATCATTGTTATTGGTTGCCCATAAATTGGGTTATGATTGTATTGCTTTAACATACATATTTAACAAGAAGAAACTAGTACCTTAGTCTAGTCTAAGTTGATGACTGTTAAGGATTCCGAATTAAATAAGGTTATAAATTGAATACTTAACGAGCTGTTTGGAGATGAAGAGAATAGACGATGTCATCATAAAGAGGCACTTGTGTACAAGCAATAAGGCTTGTTACTGAAATTCCAAAAGTATTAACTTTTGTTATAACATTTACTTGCTATTTCAATTTGAATTCAATTTGATTTTGAATTTAAATCACACTGTGAATAATAATTTGGGTACTTATTCATATAAAGGAAATATATTATAAAATAGTGTGAAGATAACTGTATATGGGAAGTTGTCTATACGTATCACGTACGGGGCAAGTTGAATAAGACAATTGGATGAAATGAACATAAGCGTAGTTGGAGCTTAATGATAAGCTAAAGGTATGGATATTGGAGTGATTTGAAAAGACAGTTTTGATATAGAAGATAGGTTACAACTATATAGAGTATAAGCTCTTGATTACTTAAGTGAGGAAGAAAAGCAGTAGGAATGAGCTTGAATAGTGAAAGGCTCAAAAAATAACATATAAATTAAGCTGGGCTGTACATATTCTGGGAGTTGTTTAATGGGATTTCCCTTGAATTCTGGTTTTGAAAAGATATGATAAAATTTGATAAGCATGCAATTATTTTGTTATTTTCATTATGAAATTTCATAAGATTTTGTTTTAACTAATTGTAAATTCTTTTCACTTGTGTCAAATTTTCAAATAAAAATATGATATTGTCAACTTAGTTTCGTGATAAGTTCTCTGGAATGTGTTATAAATACAGTATATTATGGAATGCATGTGCATAAAGATTACTATTACTCTGGTTCCTAAAGTCTAAGTATTTTTAATAATCCCATTTTTTATAAACATTGCTTGTGGATTACAGAGATGCAATTAAAATTTGGAGAAAAGAAAAGAGTACAGAAACTTGATGAATGAGATATAAGTGGTTAGACAAAAACAAAATTTATTAAGTTCAACTAAATAAAGTAAATGAAGTGGAAGGATTGAATAGAAAGGTCAATGTGGTGAGGTGACCAATAAGAAAAGAAAATTTTGATTTAAATAAGTTGAGCCGATAGGAAAGGATTTGATAAGGGATGTGTGAAATGAGGTAGTCTGCTAGTTCTATATTATATTAAAGATTCGAAAAAGGATGAAAAAATTTGGAATATAGGAATGGTAATGAAAAATGATCAAACAATAGGTATTATATATGAATATATACAAAAAAAAAAAAAAAAAAAAAAAAAAAAAAAAAAAAAAAAAAAAAAAAAAAAAAAAAAAAAAAAAAAAAAAAAAAAAAAAAAAAAGAGAAAGAATAGGATTATTGGAGTGAAATATTAATTGTATGGAGATAAATAAAGTAAAACAATTGATTAGATGTTTATAAGGTAATTGGAGAAATTGAATTGTTTGAAAAGAACGGTTATTTTTTAATTTAGGTACGTCTTTGCTGATCATATATTAATGATAAAATGAAATTAGAAATTCATGAATGGTGACTAGGAAAGAAGAAATTGAGAAAGGAAATGAATAGTTTCAATCTAAAGGAGCTAATGGAGTGATAGTGAAAAGTCATAAAAATATAGTTGTAGGCTATAAGCCAATGTGGAGGTGAATTACAGGATAAGTAATAATGATGTAATAATGATGGCAGACAAATTTTAGGACTCAAAAAAGTACTTTTGTGCAAAAAGGGGGCTAAAGGATCTATAGTTAATGCTTTAGAAATCTGTCCATATGAAATTTTTGCATCTATTACTGTTAATAAGTTTTTAAAAGAAAAAGGAATTTTCTTTTTCTAGAGGTTATTTCATTAAATTTTGAGAAAAACATGATGAGGAAATCTTTTGTATCATGCGGCATGTTAGTATTTGGACTATGGGTTTAATATTCATAATTTCTTTTTTAGATAAAGCGTGCATATAATAAAAATAAATTTACTAAAAATATTAAAATTATATTTCCTATTCAATTAATAGTTTATTCAATTAAGGAATGTTGTTTCTTTATTTTTCAAAAAATAAAATTCAAAACCCATGAAGATATATTTGTCCATCTTTGAATGTAATATTGGTATTTAAGTCAGTCCCATTTTAATATGTGTTATAGCTAATTTTTGTTATGACTACTATTATCATTACTATTATTACTATTTTTTTAGAATTTTTAATTAGTCATAATTAAAGATATTGTGAGCTATATATAAAATTTATCTTTTTAGAAAACCCCATTATTTATCATCGTCCTCACATATTTGCTAAGGATATTTTAGAAGACCTCATTATTTATCCTCATTCTCATATTTATATATATTATTATAGATATAGATAGATTATAATAATATAAAATTCTTCTAAAAAAATTACAATAATATAAATTATAAACAGTAGATTATTAAGGAGAAATAAGTGTCGGATGGTAACTGTTCAATTGACCGGTTCTAATCATTTTACTGACATTGAATCTTACCGTAAAGTTAATCCTAGTATTCATCCAGTGTCTCATCTCCTTTCTTGTTATTTAAAATATAAAATTTAAATTAAGAATTTAATTAATATAAACTATGAATCCACGTACAAATTATACAAACTCCTATCAAAACAAAACCAAGAGACTATTGATTTATTAGCCAAAGGCACAGCAAACTCTAAAGAAAGTTAGTGCACGTAAAAGAAGTGACAAAACGAGCAAAGCACACTTACCTAAACTTGCACACCAACACATAACCTATTGAACTTGCATATCAACACATAGCGTAGTGAAAAATACATATATGACCTGGTAATAAATGAAGTTCCGATAACATTCCCCAATACTCAAAAAAAAAAAAAAAAAAAAAAAATAACATTCCCCAATACTCAAAAAAAAAAAAAAAAAAAAAAAAAAAAAAAAAAAAAAAAAAGGGTTCACGTAAAACCTTAATAACCCAAACTTGAATTTGCCAAATACTAATTCAGAATTATCTTAATTCAGCTAATGTCTCCAAATCTTCTTCAACAACAGTCACCAAATACTGATTATCTGAGTTTCTCACCGAGCAATTCGCACGAATTTCCCCTTGATTACCTGTCAACACATTCAGCTGCCCCATTTTTATCATTGAAAGCACAAACTGCTCAAAGAACAAAGATTCATTAACAGCGAAGCTCTTAACAATGTCTCTTGTCCTTTTGTCTGTGTACAAATCTTGGTCCGAGGTAAATAAACCTTGGCGATTCATAAGATCAACGTAATATTTATTGTCAAATGTATCGGGAGATCGAATATCCAACACAGTAGTGTTTGTGGAATTTGATGTGGGACAGATTTCTTTGAGATTATTAGCAAATGTTTTATCCATGGTAGGATCTTGGGTTGGATAAAGGCGTTCTGTGAAAGAAGTGCAGTGGCCAAGACCGATAGTATGGCCGCCGGAGAGAGCTACAACGTCGGTGGGATCGAAGTTTTTGGTGGCTAGTGAAGTAAGAAGTGTAGTAGTGTTAGAAGTAGGGGCTGGCAAGTTGGCTAAGGTTACATTTAGAGTTGCGAAGGTTAGTCCGTCTCGCCTCCCTAATGGGACATCATAATCAGGGCCTCCTGACTAAATAAATCAAAAAATAAAAAATAAAAAATGTTAGCATAAAAATATATTATAGCATTTTTCTTTTTACAGAATATTATAGAATGTTAAGTGTAATTAAAATCTCCTTTTCCAAAAAAAAAAGGTAATAATAATAAAGTGTAAGTAAAATCTCATCTAGAAACAGAATGGCCTAACTGAGGTTACATAAGTAAAAAAAGACTTATAAATTCTGTGAATATGACTTGGGAGGGAGCGCTTTGCTCCCTTTACAGATCTGTCTGGCACGAATTCGGATTAGTCGGGCCAGTGGACTTGGACACCAGATGGTCAAAACCAAAAAAAGAGTTATAAATTTTTATCTTAAAATTTTTTAATTAAATTGAAATAAATCACTCTACTAGACTGAACTAAATAGACTAAATAATATCAGATAAAACAAATCAAATAATATCTAAAATTAAATCAAAATTGAACCAAATTGATTTTTTAATTAAATTTTAATTACCTTGGCAAAACTTATATTTGTTTTTTCAGTTTAATAAAAACTCAATCGATCTTTTTCTAAATATTGCTCACCCTTATTAATAACTAGCAACATGCATGTGCTATGCACAATAAATATCTGTATTTATAATCTTAGAGATATTGTGATAATATTTTAAATATAAGATTTAATTAAGAAAAAATATTTAATTTAAATTATTTTTAATTTTAAGATTTATTAAGAAAAAAATATTTAATTTAAAATTTTATTTTAATTTTTATATTTTGTTAATTTTTTGTTGAAAATTACTTTAAATTTACAAAGAAATTCTATTTCAAATTCAAAAACATTAGGATTTAATTATTATAAAAATTAATTGTTCTATAATTTAAAAATTGAAAGAAAAGGAAATATATATTTAAAAAAATCAATTGAATTTTAAATTTATTTTTTGGAAATTAAAATAAACTTTCTTAGATGATATTAAAAAAATAAAAAAGGAAATATATATTAAAAATCATTGATTTTAATTTATTTTTGAATTAATAAACTTTCTTAGATGATATTAAAAATAATAAAATAAAATGGCAATAAAAATTCAATCATAGACATAAATATATTATTCTTAATGATAATTTCATATAAACCACTTTCTCTTATGATTTATCAAATTTTTCCTAATAAATCATAATTTTTCCTAATTTGATAGAGTAATAGAATTAGAAGAGAAAACAATATATCATGTCGAAAAGAAATTGTATAAGAATTATTGAAATCACAAAAAAAAAAAAAAATTGATCTTACTGAAATTGTATAAGTAATTGAATTATTGAATAACAATTAAGACCAATATTATGTAATTTTAATTGAGAAAGATAAATTACAACATTATAATTATTTACTAATATGTATTAATTATGATAATTGACTGATAATTAATATCAATATTTATATAACAAAATAACTAATAATTAAATTAATTAAATTCTATGTGGCACTATCAAAATTTAAGAGTCCTATGTGACATTATAATCCCATGTGTCATCACCAAGAATCTTATGTGGCAAGAGTAAGGGCAAGAGTAAGGAAAACATTGCATTTAGAAGTGTCACATGTCAACTTCTTGGGAAAAAAGCTTGCCTTTATATAATATAGTATCTATTATATCTTATATACTGGTGTGTGTGTTTGTGTGGTGTTGTGTGTGTGTGTGTGTGTGTGTGTGGTAAAAGAATCATTCCTTTACCTGTTTATACTACGCAAACTGTGTGGTTACCTTCTTCTATTTATGGGACTATTGATAAGTTGTCTCATAATTTTTATTTGGGTTTACGGTGGAGTGTCGTAAGATGAATTTGGTTAGGTGGAATTGGCTTATTAAGCCTAAGAAGTTTGGGGGCTTAGGTTTCCGAAGTGCCCGATTGTTTAATTTTGCTATGTTGGGTAAGTTGGGTTGGAAGGTTTTTATGCATGATTCGGCTCTTTGGGTCCAGGTTGGCTCTTTGGGTCCAGGTTTTGACTCATAATATTGTCATGGTCACTCTTTTCCTCTGGTCTTACGGGGTTGTGATTCTTGTACTTGGTAGGGGATTGTTCGTAGTTTCCAGCATCGTCAGTCTCATGTTTCTTGGCAGGTAGGGGATGGTCGACTAATTAGTTATGGTATGATTCCTTGTTGCTTGTGGGTCCTTTGGTGGATTCAATAGGGTCTATTTATTTCTAGGGATAAGGAGCATCTTCGGGTGGGCAATCTTATTCATAATGGTTCTTGAAATCTTTCTGTGTTACGTACCTATCTTTCTTATGATATTAAGTGCTTAATTTATGCGGTTGCTCTTCCTTTGGTTGCTTTTGTTCATGATTCCATTTTTGTGAAATTTTACTTTTAATGGTAAGTTTTCTATTAAAGCAGCCTATTTATATTTATTATTGGAGGAGGTGCATGTTGGTATTGATTTTGTTTCTTTCTCATGGATTCGGTGTTGATGGTTTGCTTAAATTGAGACATTTCATTTGGCTGGTTTTACATAGCCGTTTGCCGACTAATTCTTTTCGGTTTCAGAGAGATGTGACTCTTTCTAGTTTATGTAGTTTATGTTCTATGAAGGAGGAGTCTCTGTTGCATCTTTTTGGTGATTGTGTTGTGGTGCAGGCATGGTGGCAGCAGTGGAGTTTGATATGTGTTTGTGCCGCGGCAAGGCATATATAAGGTATTGGCAGCCCAGTGGAGTTTTGCCTCTAATTTTTTTGAGGTGGGATTGATGTTGTGTTGTTGTTGCGTTTTATAATTTTATTCTTGTATATTGTCTTGGTCCCTTCGGTTATCTCCTAGCATCATTAGTTTAGGCTATGTTGGTGGGTTTAGAAAGCGAGAACTTGAATTGTTTTCAAATGAATCTGTTTGTTGTTTCTACTTTAAAACCGTTGTGTTTTTAAAGGTAACCGTTTTGGATATTGTGAATTCTTTTCTACTCCTTTTTGTGCTTAGCTAGACTTGTTAGTATGGCAATTTTGTGGTGGCTTAGTTAAGCTCTCAAGAAGAGTTGTGGTGAGTTAATTGCTGTATGCGGTTAATAGTCAGTCTTACTTAAATCCGAGAGGTTGATTAGTACTGTGCGTGGTGGGTGTGTTCCTTATGATTCTTGGGAGAGTAGCCTTTAGTAGGCTATTCTCTTAATTATTGGTCACCTCTACTATCTTTATGTTGGTGAGTTGGTCCTCTATTCGGTATCAGTTGGCTTATTCTTGCTTGGGACCCTTGACTTTCTAATGAGGCATTGTTGTTTGAGGTTCTAATTAGATTTGGTGAGCCTAGTTTAGGTTGTCCGTGATTGTGATGGTAGTAGTCTTACTAATCCGAGGTTGACTAGTGGTGGTGGTGTGTTCCATGATTCTTGGGAGAGGTAGCTTAGAGGCTATTCTCTTAATATTGGTCACTCTACTATTTTAGTTGGTGAGTTGTCCTCTATTCGGACAGGGCTTATTCTTGCTTGGGACCGTGATTTCTATAAGATTGTTGTTGAGTCTAATTGTTTGGTGGCTGTTAGGTTGGTGAGCTTAGGGTTATCTATTCATTTGTTCTTTAACAAGTCTTGAATATAACTTGATGGACTATATAAGACGAGTAGTTTTTCCCTTAACTCACAAGTCGAAAACACTCCAGACTTCCATTTCTTACATTAAGGAGAAGTCCTACTAGACCATAAAGTTGACCTTAAATATAACTTTGAACTTTGAGAAAAATACAGTTTTGTTATTTGAAAGCATGGATTGGACATTTTGACAGTTTTGTTACTTTTATTGGAAATGCTATTCTCTTTTATTACAAAAATTAGAAAAACAAATAAACGATATATTATATATTCTAGGTAAAATATGCAACCATTTGCACAACTGAATGTCAATTAGAATAGTCTATTCATGACTTGTGATGATATAAAATTTGTAGTCAGTCAAGATTTAATAGAAAATTTATTTTGTACTGCCATTGCCAAAAAGTCTTTGATTAGGTGAATACCATGTGGTGCAGAACACAGTAAAATGAATGTGAATTAAATCATCTTTAGACGCGAATACATTAATTCGCCCAACAACTCTATTAATTTTAATTTTATGAGACTTTGAATTTGTATTTTGACCAATGAAACACTTTTATAATATAACACATATTAAACACTTCAACTTGCAAAATTAGATCAATTAAACATATCAAATAATTGAAAAATGTAAAAATTATGCTAACTAAATATCAAATCAATATTTTGCATATAAAAGCTAAAAATCCTAAAGACTATCATTGTTAGTGTAAAAAGGTGAAAAATACAATTTACAGATTTAAGTGGATGATCGATCATTCATAAAGTTTAAAATATCATAGAGGTAAAATTGCAAAATTCAAAAGTATAAATTTATGTTGTTGCCTATTTTTAAATCATGGCCATGAATTGGGATATTGCTAATACTAGTAAGGAAAAAATGCATTGCCAAACTAGATTTTAACTCCGGCAACTAAGGGTATGGGTGTCAACTAAGTCCTTAGTAGTATTGTTTAAAAAAAAAAAACAAAAAGTTCCCGATATGGAAAACTATACTTGTAACCGTTGAATTACCAAAATGGACAAAATTCAAGAGGATGCGAACGCGATTTTCCTGCTAATAAATGTTCAAACTTGAAACTACTGGCTCCTAAAAGCTGAGCTTTGAATGTTTGGCAACCGCTTTGAAAGTTCTGTAGCTTTCACCAGCAGGTCACAAGTCAAATATACTTAATTTTCACACCCTAATTACCACCAAAATTAAGTTAGTTGGCAATTAACAAAATTCAGTTACTATAATGGAACGTAATATATTTGTAGTATAATACTATTATACTAGAAATGCATCTAATTATATCATATTACGTGACTTATTAAACCTAACGGTAAGATGTTGATCACCTGTTCAATGTCACCGCTTTTAGCAGTAGCAAAAAAGTCATAAACGTAACGAATAATCTAAAGACTTAATAGTTCATCAGCTGAGAATTTAATGCCACTGCTTTTGTTTGTTATTTCTTTTTTTTTTTTATGTTTGTAAGATTTCTAAATTTGTATATCTATTTTTTTTTTTTTCATGATAACTTTTATGATTATTATTCATTAAATGAATTATTTTTATTAATATCTTAATAATGAGTTAATGATAAAAAAGGACAAAATAATTTTTGTTGATTAAATTCTTAACAATATATATTTTGTCGAATTATGCAAACAAAATAGGACGGAGCAAGTATTTTTCTATTCGCTCTAAAAAAAATTAGTCTGAATAAGAAATAGCACACGGTACTAATTTGATTGAGCAGAAAATATAAGAAAAGAAAAGAAAATGAGAAGAGAGAAGGTTGATTACCAAGACAACGGAATCGCGAGCAGCAATGGCGACAATATCAGCACAAGAAACAACACGGCCACATTGGTCCTGCACCCGCTCGCGCAAGTCATCAATGATCTCAAATGCCTTCTTTCTCAAGGTCAAGTTGGGAGGCGCATCCTGCTCGCTCGGTCCACTCGTCGATCCATCTAGCAACACTGACGCATCGCACCCCTGCCACAATCCAACACAAACACACAATCACTATAAAACTGAATATGTTAAAACTTGGTTGAACTGAGCTTAACTGAACCAATTCGATTTATCCTTCATTTGCTCAAAAAAACAAAAAAAAAAAAAAAAAAAAAAAAAAAAAATTATCTTCATTTTGCTCAAAAGAAACAAAAAAAAAAAAAAAAACAAAAAAAAAAAAAAAAAAAAAAAAAAAAAAACAAAGTAATAATCTTTAATTAGCTCAACTACAAGTCTAGCTTTGTCAGTTAACATATCCGTATAGCTACCTGAACAAAGCAATCATGGAAGTGGAGACGGAGCAAGCCAGCAGCTTGGCCAATGTCATTCTTGAACACTTTCTTGAGTTGTTTTCTGATGATGGATTCAACTTTGGGACAGCTAGACTTGTAGAATGTCCATGCGAGACCATTTGCTATAGGAGGTGATGAGCTTTGTGCTTTGATGGCACAAAAGAAAGAACCAACAAAGAAAGAAAGCATCAAAAGCAGAGAAGTGGAGGACTTTTTGGTAGCCATGACTGGTTTGGTTTTGTGGCTTGAGGAGATTAGAAGGATGTGTATTTATAACCCCACATGTAATTTTTGCTTTTGAAAGTGTCAATTGCTTAGTCTTTTATTATTTCACACAAAAATAATGCATAACTATTGACTTTGGGGAATAGTTGAATTTTTGAAACACAGTAGCTTGGGCATAAGTGCTACAGTGAATAAGGTGAAAAGTTTATTTATCAGAAAAAAAGATGATGGAAATAAGGGGGAAAAATATTACTTTTTATGATTTTGGAAACCTTAAAATAAATAATAAATAAATGAAATTAATTTTGTTCCAATGAATTATGAAAAGGAAATAAAATTATAATTGTCAAATAAAAATTTTCCCCTTCCTATGAGGTGCAAAAATGTGTACCCATATACTACCCTCTAAATTATAAGTTAATAAATTTTGAGCTAACAAGAAAATCAATTAATTTGGCTAATTATATTTGTAATATCTAAATTTTTTATATTTTCACATTAAATACAAAAATTTACGATTAAATATTTGAATTACTAAAAACACTTTTATGTTAGAATTTTTTTTTTTTTTTTTTTTTTTTTTTTTTTTTTTAGAATTTTTTTTTTTTTTTTTTTTTTTTTTTTTTTTGATAAAAATTTATGTTGTAGATGAATCTGGTTTCATAAAATGAAAACGACATAAAGTGTGGAGCAAGGAAAAAGCGCGTAGCAACGCTGTGCTCACATCTCTATCATTCTTGCATGGACAAGACAAATGTTTTTTTTTTTTTTTTTTTTTTTTTTTTTTTTGAAAATTTATGTTAGTTAGATGAATCTTGTTTTCTAAATGAAACGACATAAAGTAGCAAGGAAAAAAGCGCGTGAGCAAACGCGTGCTCACATCTCTATCATCTTGCATGACAAGACAAATGGTTAAAAGTCATACAAATGCTATCAAAAGGATAAGTCCATCTCTTTATTAAATTCTCCAATCCATTGATTTTTATAGGAATGGAATTAGGTTCTATTCGTGTAAAAAAAATATCTTTGCAAAAATATTTTCCAAAAAATTAATTTTTTATTATTAGATTGTCATATCAAAAATTAGTTAAAAGATACTAAAATTTTTTAATTTATAAAATCATAAGAATATTTAGAATTACATTAATTTCATATTTTAAAATTTTATTATTAAATATGAAAAAAATAATTAAAAAATGATAATCGTATGATAATCGTCACTGACTGACAATAATAGCCGATGATGATCAATAACCTGTTATGGTGATTGGCACTATCCGGTAATCGATGCTGTTCGTTACTAACGATGATAGAAAATATTTTCCCTATGAAAAAGGGGAATGATTTGTTTTCTTTTGATATGAAAAAATTATTTTTCGTAAGTTCAAACATCAAAAAAGTTCAAAATAGATAAATATTTGTGTTTCTCATGAACAAATGGAACTTAATTATGTAACATAGCTATTATATAAAAGAATAGCTATATATATATTGGGATAGGAAAAAAAAAACCTACTAAATTAGATTTATAGATTAATAATATCTTTAAAAGTTTTAATTTATTGGTTAAAAAATAAAAGTAATTTCATTGAATTGGTCATTTTATTTTTTTATTCAAATTTAAATTCTATCGGTAAAACACTAATTGAAAATTTTTATACTAATTAGAAATTATTATTGTTAATAAAGAAGGATTACGTAAAATTATTATTCTACCTCTCACAAAACCTAAAAACACTTTCTTGTTTATTTTCTTCTTCTATGGACAGCCACAGCTAAGCTTTCACCTATGGTCATATTTTTTCTTTTTTTTGTTATTTTGTTTAAATAATCCTCAGATTTGTATTTTGATATAGTTCGGAGTTATTGTTGTCCAAATATAGGGATTTATCGTTGTCCAAATATAGGGATTTGTCTTTGCTTATATCTTAAAATTTTATTCTCAGATTTAGTTTTGAGTTATTGTTGTCACCAATATGATGATTTTGCCTAAGGTATTTTGATATTTGGGCAGTTATGTAAAAAGAAGTGCATATCTCCTCTCTAATAGAATGAAGAAATTTGAAAGTGATCAGATCAAACTTGTTAAAAGATCATGAAGTCGAACAGTGGTCATAAATAGCTATTAAGTGGAGCAAGCAATTGCCCACAAATATTATGTTATGTCAACTCGATCAGATACTCCAAATCAAAATTGTGTTTTTTTTATTATTTGTATAAGGAATTTATTACTAGATTTTCTGTACAAAAATATAGAAATATATTAATTTGTGCCCCACATCTATATACAGTTTCCTCTTAGTTCTCTCATAATGAAATTTATAGTTTGATTTTTTTTATATAAAAAAAAGAAATTATAATTGTAGAAGTTGTCATATATTATGAATTTTTAATTACTATTGTACATTTTTAATAAAAAATCATTATTATTATTATTTTATATTATTGAATAATATTTTTTTGTTTTATAATAAAATTAAAATTTTATAAATTATTATGAATCTTCTTTCTATGTTTAGATTTATGCAGGGAGGAGCTAGATTTCAAAATTGGGCCAAAAGAAAATTTTAATTAAGGGGCCATATCAAAGAAAAACAATTTCTTTGCACTAGTTACGAGTATAATGTTTAAAATTTTTGAGTTTGGGAGGCTCAGGCTCCCCCTCCCCAGCTTCTAGATTTATAAGTACATTTAGATAAATATTTTATCTATTTATCAATTATTTTTAATTTATATTTATTTTTTTATTAATTTATCGTGTTCAATTGTTTTTTTATTGAAAACAAAATAATAATGAAAATTATTCTTGATAAATAATAAAATAATTATAAATTAAATAATAAGTACTTACAATTAGAAAGAACAATACGATGCAGATTGTTATATACTGATATATATATATATATTGTGAATTATAAAAATAGTGGTTATCAAAATTAAAATTCATAACACCATACATTTTAATACAAACACTCGATTACTTAATTACAAGATATGAAATAAAATTTAAAAGTTAAATATTTTAATTACAAGAATCAATAACAAACAATTTAAAGATTTGAAGGAATTATATTAAGTTTTTCTTTTTTTCAAAATAAAAAAGAAACGAAAAGACTAGGCATTATCCAAAGACTTTTTGGAACTTGGTACCCAAGAAGATGATCAGGTTCAGGTACGAAAATTACAGGAAGCTCTGCTATTTGATAACATAAATTTGTGGGACCATTTTGTAAGATTTTTGTGGTAGTATACAAAAAAGGTGTTCCTTTCACGAGAAGGCAAAGCTCGTTAATGAATTCTCTTACCTCATAATTAAACCGACATGTGAACGCTTGTAAAAAAATTTATCCTTTCGTCAAATTCACCTTAAATTTTTTACGGTGACTGGTGAGAAGTTACCAGGAAATGACATGGAGATAAAAGAGTAACGAGATTGAAGTAGATGTTTTATGAGGTTTTTTTTTATCTAATTTATTGATTAAAATTAAAATTTATTTAAATTAAATTATAAAGTAGATTTTTTTTCCCATAAATTTCTCAATTCAATTCTAATATCAGTAATATTTAATTCTAACGTGAATGATATTGATAATAAAATGAACTAATCAATGCATTTTTCAAATAAAAGAGACAAGATTGTACTTATAACGAAATCTAGAGACTAAATAATTATTTACTCTTGTTAAGTTTTTAATCCAAAGTGATAGAGTCTAGCATGATTAAATTAATCATTTGATAAATAAACTGCTGTAATTTTTTCTGTTTTAAATATTGGGAGGGAGATTCAAACATAGATTCAGCCGCAGAGCAGGAATATAATTAAAGATAAAGGGAGCGTAATTTTTTTTTTTTTCAAAAGTTAATCATGAGATTTATAAGTTTATATTGTTGTTGATATTCCAAAATAACCTCAAATGATGACTTCTTCAAAAATAGTTATGCAGTAACTTCAATTTTTTTTGAACTTCATAATAAATAATAACACTTCAAAATGGTAAAATATACGGCAGATAGAACATTACACAGTCAGCTTTCTTTATATATTACTGAAATCAAACTCAATTTTCCATTAAACTTAAAAGTAATAGTATATAATTTGCCCAAAAATTAATTTTTTACATAATTTATGTATGAACTTGCCAAAAAAAAAAAAAAAAATTTATGTATGAAACTTTGCCAAAAAAAAAAAAAAAAAAAAAGAAAGAAAAACCAATTTTTTTTACTAAAAAAAAAAAAAAAAAAAAAAAGAGAAAGAAAAACCAACTTTTTACTAAAAAAATAAAAATTTGATTTAAATAAAAAATAATTAAAACATTTGATTTAAATCAAATATTTAATTGAAAGTAATTAAACAAAAAAATAAATATTTTTTGATTATTCAATATAAAAGATTTTCCTAATTTTACAATTTTTTAAACCACATATTTCTTTAATTTATTTTTTAAATCAAAGACAATCCATTATAATTTGTTATAATTATTATTTATTTTTAAATAATTTTTCTTTCCTAATTTTAAAGTTCTTAAATACGTTCTTAAAAATTATTTTAAAAAAAAAGATAAGCTTTAATAAATGGTATAAAAAGTGATTTTTGAGCAAATAGTATGTTGCTTAAATTGATTGAGCTTTATTTTTCTTATCTTGTTAAGATTATAATACATTAAATTGTCATGTCTTAAGTGAATCTAACTCTCTAAGGAGTTTACTCCACAACTCGATAATGCGATCATCAGGTGAAATTTAATGCACTTCAACCACTAGAGCAAGCTATCATGGATTAAGCTTGTGTGTTTTTAATTATTTCTAGCCTAAAATTTCACTCAACCAAGCAAATTAGTAACTAATTAATGAATCTAGTCGTAGAAACTGCCATTGAATTATATTTTGTTTGGACTCAAACCGTCACAGACAATGGCGTTTTTAGTGCAGAAGCTATGTGAACTTTGAAAAAATTTTCGCTCCAAATATATAACACAACTTTATTAATTAGTTAAGAATCCCAGTAATTACAAGTTTTATTAGTTAAGAAATCCATAAAACACATAGCCATTGCTATAGAGGAAGAGAGTAAACA